ACTCTGGTTCTGGGTCAGACTCTGATTCTGGGTCAGACTCTGGTTCTGGGTCAGACTCTGGCTCCAACATGTAAGGCTGGATGGACAAGTCTTCTGTTGTTGACATATTTTAATTAAATTGGTAATAAAACATTTCTGCRAGCTAGAAAAGTCTCAAAYCGGAGTGGACTGGTCTAGAAGCCGAAGGGGGGCGGGGCTTGAATCGTCTTAAAGGAACAGTAACAAAACCAGCTGCTTTGAGACACACAGCAGAAAGGAGGTGAAAGAGGAGCTGGTAAAGTTAGAATAAGAGGAATTCAGACCAAAGCGTTGCAGTTCCACTTTATGTGAAAAGGAAGGATTTAAAAGCATGATATGACTACTTTAAATGTTGTCACTTAATTATATTCAAAGCATATTGTGATAATCAGCCAAAAATAATAATATTAGGAGAAACAGAATTCATTTTTTACACCAATTATCAAAAGACTTAAATTCTACATTGTTAAAAAGATTTTTGTTTAATTCAGGTATAAAAATCAGCTAAATAACCTACGGTTTAAATTCAAACCTTTAAATATCATCAAGGCTTCACGGTGATGTTGTTTTTTTGTTTTTTGTTTTCATCTTCAAGAAATATGTTAGAGCAAGGGTAAGCAGAAATGTGTCTATTCTCTATATTTAACGTGTTTATTATCTGTAACATGTAAAGAAATAGGTTCTCTTTTTGTGTATGTATATTTAATGTTTCTCAGTGACATTGTAATTTATTGTAAATTGCAATCAACAACATAACAGTGTTGTCCRTGAAGTTCTTGTGCCAAAATAGTTGAAAATATCCACTTTAAGAAAAGTTCTTCGTTGGCTGAAGAACAAAACCAGCTCGTGTGTTGCTCAGTGTACAATGTGTGTGTTTTTTTATTGTAAGAAACATTTGTTTCTTTGAATTGTGGGTATTTAATTTTGGAACAAAGTTCTTCAGCATGCATTTCAAATTAAACGTCCCTTATTGTTGGTTTTCTGTGTCTCCTGGTTTCGCTTTGTGTCACTGTTATGTCTGTTAGTGTGAATAAAAATAACCTCTGATATTGATGTTTGTTGTTTTAAAGAGTGCGTTAAACCAGAGCATGAGGTTCCTGGAGAGAACAGCCTCAGATCTCCCTGTAAGTGATCATCTAAATCCATAATCTAGACTTTACTTAATCCTAATCTCATGATCCTTGATTGTTCTTTTCCAACAGAACAAAGTTCTAGCTGTTCTCGATGCCATTGAAGCYGCTCAGTACCTCATCTCCCAGAATGCCACACTTCTAATCAATCAGGTGAGCACGTATGTGTATTGTACATTTTAAAAGTAGTACATGCAAGTATCCATTAACTATACTAATATTAAACTGAGTATACTTCCAGTTTACTTTTTATGTACTTATCTATGATATACTTAACCAAGTTATCATACAATATACTTGGTTTGTACTAAAAGCATGTCTACTTATTCTATACTAATGTTAAAACTTTTGGCCAAGATAAACTTTAGTAATACACTGAAAGTACATTTTTACACAGACTGGTTTATTTGTAGTATATTTCAAGATTAAACTAAAAGTATACTTAGAAGATTACTTTCAGTATACTTTTGATTATACTTTCATAAACTTATTGTGGGCCAATTTAGTCCTAGAAGTGTACTTTTTAGTAAACTGCAAGTATACTTAAATTAGTGTACATGGTAAAAAAAAGTACACAAATTTTTTTCTTAAGTCCCAGTTTAGTACAAACAAGTATTAAATCAGTATACTTTCTAGTACACTACAAGTTCATGGCGCCTAGTATACGTGATATACTTAAACTTATACTCAAGTGTACTTATTAAAATGAACTTCAAGTGTACTCGTTTTTGCTATCCTTAATGTATACGTTTTATAAACTAAAAATGTCCCAGTTTACTACAATGAGTATTAAATTGGTATACTTTCTAGTACAGTACAAGTTTATGGTGCCTAGTATACTTGATATACTTAAACTTATACTCAAGTACAATTATTAAAATGAACTTCAAGTATACTACTTTTTGCTATCCTTAATGTATACTTTTTTTAAACAAAAAATGTCCCAATTTAGTACAAACGAGTATTAAATTAGTATATTTTCTAGGACAGTACAAGTTCATGGTGCCTAGTATACTTGATATAATTCAACTTATACTCAAGTACAATTATTAAAATGTACTTCAAGTGTACTACTTTTTGCTATCCTTAATGTATACCTTTTATAAACTGAAAATGTCACAATTTAGTACGAACGAGTATTAAATTAGTATATTTTCTAGTACAGTACAAGTTCATGGTACCTAGTATACTTTGTTATATTTAAACTTATACTCAAGTACACTTATTAAAATGAACTTCAAGTATACTACCTTTTCCTAAGGTATACCAAAACAATGAATTTTAACAGACACATAATGTGCTTTTGTTTCCCCAGGAGACAAGAAAATACACAGCAACCATCATCGGTTACTTCCATCAATACATAGAATGGGTCAAAACATCCGTAAGTGTTGCAAATGTTTTCCCCCCATATTTTCTACACTTTTTAGGTGTTTATGTTTTGTTTGTTGTTAGTCAGAACCAAACCCAGAGTGGTAATGTGGAAAACAACAACTTTGCAGTGGAGTTTTTTTTTTGCGGGGTAAATTTAGAGAAGTCAAATATATCAGCTACAGCCTCTTTAAAGCTGAGGAATTCGCTTTGAGGCTCGCTGGTTTCTGCTGCGATCGTTCCAAGGAATTTCAACCAAAGTCGGACAAAAACGACAAAAGTTTCTATCCGGATCTCAGAGATGTCAATAAAACATACTTTTCCCGTCACTCGTAACATTTATATTGGTATTCAGATGTATGAGGGTTTTTTTAAGAGCGTGTGATGTGTTCTAACACTTCCTGTTTACATATTTTATAGTTGGCCTTGGAAGTTGCGCAATGCAAGCCCTTCAGCAACATTCTGGACACGGCGGAGATCATGACCTGCAGTTTCCTGGTGGACTCGATGGTAACGAGATGGAGAATTTGAGCAAACAAACAAATAAAAGCGTTTCATGTGGTTTGCTGTTGTTCACCAGTCAGCCATAACATTATGACCTCTATCACGAGAGGTGAAACTCTGGGAACATTAACTTTAATGTGGCTATCACAGCAAAATGAACTTAGCAAATACAAAAAATGACTATAACTCTTTTACAGATACTGAGTTAAACTTCAGTGTGGTAGTAGCTGAGGWTCCYTGATAATTTCTTCTTTCTGTTCTGTTTTTTTGAACAGAACACCTTCTGGATGGGCCTGGGCTGCAGCACTCTCTTTCTGCTCCCGAGCATCATACTGGCTGTAAAACTGGCCAAATATTACCGCAGGATGGACACAGAGGACGTTTACGATGAGTGAGTTGCTCTTTGTCTCATTTAAGATAAATATATTTATAATAGCCTGGGCGTTGTGGGGTTACTTTGTATTTAGTGATTATAACAGGGTTCCTGCAGATCCTTAAAAAGTCTTAGAAGTCATTGAATTCATTAATCCAAAAATAAGACCTTAATTAGCCCTAAAATGTCTTAAATCAATCTTTCAGAGGTCTTAAAAATG